TGATCATAACGGATCGTACCGATTCTGTTAATCGGTACCAAAAATCTACCCGACACAGACCGATTCCCGTCCCAACCCAGCCTTGCTCGGCCCCCTTACTACCGGGCTGGTCCGGTACCGGGCCAGCCAGGCCCGTTTGACACCTTTAGAATGACCACAAGATAAATTCTTGTGCTACGCTGGAAGCAGATCATATACGTACTTTTATTGAATGATAATGTTTATATAGATGTAGTAAGTTAAATTAATTGTAAAACTCGATGTTTAATTATCTGATTACATGTTAATTTTTGATATGATAGAAGTTATTTTTCATGGAATATGTTTGTCGGAAAAATGTCTCGTGCTTAATTGGCGAGTGAAATTATATATATTATATAATTAATAATAATATTACTAAATCTAGTAGTGCTTGACGAAATCTTTGAGTGTTTAAAGATTGATAGTAGTGTTTAAATAATGGTTGGAGCTTCTGATAATAAATTAAGAGACAAGATAATTGTAAGAAAAATAATATTTGTCATAAGCGAAGGAAGTCATTTTTCTTGAAAAGCATGTCTAGTAACCAAACACAAGAAAATTATATCTTTTTTTTAAAAAAACCTAAAAAATAAATCCCGTCATACTAAATATTTCGATAATATATATGCACTAAAACACTATGATTTTAGAATTACTATTTTAAACGCGCTCAACTTAATTATCACTTCTTTTTGAGATGTTACTATGATACAACAAAGAGGTGCTCTAAAAGTTAAGTCGGTCCCCAATACGCTTTATGAGAAGATAAATGATCTGAATTATGAAAGTCAATTAGCTAATTTTACGTTTAATTTTGGTCACTACATAATTATTAAACAGTATCGCCCCTCATATAGTCATATGTTTATGTTCTACATACTCAAAGAAAATATATTAATCCCTACTTATCTAACACTCTTCCTATTTTCAGATATTACACAAGCATTTAACGCCATTTCACTAGCAAGATTATTTCAGTAACTTCAACAAGTTTCAAGAATCAGAATTAATTTGACAAATTAAATTAATTTAGAACTTAGATGTCTTGTTTTATCTATTAACCTAGTATAGTATTTCATTCAAAAATACTAGTTTAGGAGACATACATGTTTTTCTTAGTGGAAAAGCGAATTTGCAACAATCATGACTTATGTCACCGGTCATCAAAAATCATCAGCGGATGAATTTCCTATGTCCACAACCTATTAACGGATGTATTTCCTATGTCCACAACCTACTAATCCGTTATATGCAGAGATAGATCATATGTTATGTAAAAAGCTCCTATGTCCACAACCTACTAATCCCTTATATGCAGAGATAGATCTTATGTTATGTAAAAAGCGTAGCTGTTTTTATTATGACCGAAAGGCTCTTCTTCAAAATGGTATTTATACATGCTAGCTCTAGAGTTTTACGCGTGGAGGAATAATTAATGGGTATGTGGTCCATCTAGCACCCTTATAGGTGGATCCGATCCAATAATATTTTCCAATACCTAATATTTTATTATAATGGTAACAACATAATGTATAAATTTAATTAACTGCATAATTTTTTGCATAATCAGCTGGTGTTACACAAAATTAGGATAAAAGTTAACACTGCTAATGCATATTGTTCAGTAGCTTTACACATAGTTTGCAATTATTTGCTTTTTCTACACTGGAATGATAAGAGATATTCTTGAATATATGTATTTTGGCATTTACAGTGAGAAAGGAAAAATGACATAAGCAGAAAACTAAGAGGGGTCATAGTAGCTAGGCAACCGTCTAAGGGAATTTTTGCTTCTATTGAAGTTGCGGAGGGAAAAAACAAACCTAGAAAACAAAGTACTACTTCTAATTTAATGATTTATGATAAAATAGAAGAGGAAACACTCCACCTAATTTTTTGTCTATTTACACACAAACTTTAAGGAAGCAGTAGGTTTTCGATACACGAATTAAAGCGTTTGTTTGTGTTACACGTTTTAGTAATATCTTTTGTCCGTGTTATTTGTCTTTTTTTAAGATTTTACATATTTTTTAATGAAAATATTAATAGCCTTAATCATATGAGTATTCGACTAGATTACCCGTTATCTTCTTAAATGAGTCAATTAACTAAGACCACACTAATTTGAATAATGACTTCTTGTTTCTCTAAACAATTACAATAAATATTTTTATTGCCGCAAGAAAGACCGCTTGACCACTCCATATACTTTTAAAATATACAACTTTTCGCATGGGAATTATACAATCGACGAAAGTTATATGCAAGACCTGAAGGGAGACCTTTCATATCTTTTGAGATCCACTGAACCTTCTTCATCGTGATTCGACCTAAACGGCTAAACATCGAACCAAGATAAAACACCGGAGTAGCTAACCATGTACCAAGAAGAATGTATGCTAGAAAATGGCAATTTGTTGATCATAAGATACACTACAATAGTGAATGCTTCAAGTGATAGATGTTTGGTACTCCATTATTTATGTATCAATGTCAACATTAACAAATTTAATTTACCACGACTAATATTTAGTCAGTTATATATAAAGAATACACAAGTCAGTGTACTTCAAGTATTTCAGACGAAAATGGCAACTACAACTTCAAGTTCTGGCCTTTATAAGTAATCGACTACTCGTGGATTTCCGGAGTTCTAATTAGCAATTTGTTTATTGTCAATTGGCCTTGTCCTTTGTTTAGCTGCCTCTACTTGTTCCCTATTTCATTTCGGTGTGAAGTTGATGAAACAAATAATTCTCTCCTTTCTTTTTTCTTTTATATTGGCTTTTTCTTTGTGTGAACCAACTAATGAGCTTTGACTATTTCAGCCTACATTGTGCAGACATATTTATTATTTTAATTATATATAAGAATAATGACACAGTTGTATAAACTGATCTTATAAACAATATGAAAACTAAACTCATAAACTATCCAAGCAAAGCTATCAGTGGGGTTGGAAGTTAAAAAATGTCAAAATTTCCTTCACGAAAACTACCAATTTATACAAACAGATGGACTGAAGAAGAGAAGGAGGAGTTTGGTTTTTTGAGTGTGTTGGTGGATTGAGTTATTGAGGGAAAAATGGCCCGTTTAGATTTAATATAGATTGAACTAACTTTGAATTCTGTGAGTTTTCGGTTCTTTTCCAACATAAGGCTTGTGAAGTTAGATCTAAAAGCTGCATTTTCTCTATGGTAATCAATATGACAAGTGATTTGCTGAAGTAATTAACCAAACGGATAGAATTCGGTAGTTCGAAAAATTCGTTTCTTTCCTTTTTTACATTCTTTTCAAAATTTTGAAAATGAAAATTCTGTAATAATTTTATGATGTTTTATCTTTTTAATTTTGCAATAAACTTTACATAAACCAAACAAAAAAAAGTTAATTGTCTTAATTACGTATTCAAAATTATGAACTGATTTTTATTATGCTAGTCTAGTATTTTATAACTAGCTAATTGTATGATTATTCACCTCTAACACTATAGTGCTTAGAAAATGACAATATTTTATACTCCATAAAAGACATGCATTAATTACTACTATTATTGTTCCATGCTTGAGGATGGATCACATTGAGGCTGTTACAAGTTTAAATCCTTGACTTCTCTGTCTCCGGAATATGGAAAGGTTCCTCAAGTATGGGATATTCTATTCCAAGTGGTGGACTTAAGGTCAATTTTAGAATCTTTGTATCAAGACTAGTTAGTCTAGGACTCGATTGTAATTAGCAGGGGACCTAATTGTAAATAAAAGAAACTAAAGGGACACATTAGCAATTTAGTTGGAAGGGGCACGTGATTCAGTTATAAAACAATGCTCTTCCACTAACGAGTTGTATTCTCATTCATTCTTACACAATACTAAAAGGATTGCTCTCACTCCTCTCTAAATCCACTCTCTAGATTCTTCTTCCAGTTCGACTATGAACTTGATTGCCTGTTATTGGATTTAGTTTGCTGAGCTTAGATTCAACAAACTAACATGATATCAGAGCAACGATTGCTGTAATTGTGAGGATTCAAACACTATTATTGCACACATTTAAGGTCAACCATGGCGACCGACAAAATTGGATAATTACCTCATAATCATCCATTGTTTCTTGGAGATTCAGATGTACCTGGAATAGCACTGATTTCGCTGAAACTCACAGGGCTAGAGAATTATGTACTGTAGATAGTGCGATGAGAGTAGCGATATTGGTGAATAACATGTTAGGATTTGTAGACGGTACCTATCTAAGGGGCTCGTACAAAGGTGTATTAACAACACAGAGGGAGAGATGTAATACAATGGTGGTTTCGTGGCTAAGCAATATAGTATCAAGAAACTTTGTACCTAGCATTATGTATGCTCGAGTGCGAAGAAGGTATGAGATGAGTTTAATGTGAAATTTGATAAGGACAATCTGACTAGAATATATCAACTTTGAACTGAGCTGCCAATCTATGAGTCGGTTACTTCATATATTTCGAAGATGAAAGACATATGAGATGAAATTGACATTGTAAGACCTAGCCTGTCGTTTTGAGTATTTTAGCCTCGTTCCCCTATTTATTTCCTTCTATATGTTATCACTACCAGAAAATGGGCCTATTGGAACAGATGTTTTTGTAACGGTTCAGAAACCGTTCCTACAGATCTATTATTGGAACGGTTCTAATCGTTGCAATATTACATGGGTGATACTAGCACACTTGGGCTATAAAACCGTTGCCATTAATTAGAAACCGTTCCCATTGGATTTTATTTTTTGCCACGCTTATACTAACCGTGCCAATAAATATCTCTGTTGACACGGATCTTGAAAAAAATGCAATGGGAACAGTTGTTATTTCCCTCCTAAAATTTTGGACCCCTGAATTTTCGTAAAACTCGCGCTAGAACCCCTATTTTTACATAAATTTCTTTTTGTCTTAATTAATGGACTAATTATGAAATATAAGTTTAATTTCTACACCTAATAAAATTTAAAACAACTAAAGGCTATCGAAAGGCCATCCCTCTCAAAAGGGACTTCACCCAGAGCGACGACTCTGTAACAACCATCGAAAGGCAGCCATCAACCGCCGACTCTGCCACCATCCCGCCGTCAACCTCCGCAGTAGAACCTCCGACTCTGTAACAGCTACGGCCGTCAACAACCACCTCCTTCTACGGCCGTCAACAACAACCACCACCCCGCCGTCAACAAAGTCGCTCCAGCTCTTCGACTAGTTCCGAGATTTGATTTTCTTTTTTCTTCACCCATAAACTTTATCTCCTCCACCCGAAACAACCACCTCCTTCTATTAATCCAAGCTCCACATTTTCAAATAGTCCCAAAATTTTAGGGTTTTTTCTCGACTAAGCTCGACCATCTCCTTTTGCAATTTCTCAATAGTTGAGCCATAATTTGCAGATTCCATTAGTGAGGAAGAAATTGCAACTGATAGCTGTGGGATAAATCGCGGTAAGTTTTTTTTAATCTCTTTTTAATTTAAATTTTAGATAACCACATTCGATAGTTGTGTTTTTGAATGAAGATTTTAGTATTAATGTTCGTTATTATCCGATTCAACTGATTTTTATTTTTGGGAGTATTTGAGCGACATAGTGTGATTGAATGGAGATTAAACACACTGGTGTACGTCTTCTTATTGTGCTTGAAATTGTGAATTTCATTGAAATTATACTTTACGTTGGTACAATTGATAGGTTTTGATTCTATATTTTGTTAGATATGTCACTGTTTGATTCAGTTGTCTTTGTTAAAAAAGATTTTCTTGTTCAACTTAACAGCTTTAAAGCTGTGAGTTTTTTCTACTGAAGCTTTTAATCTAAGTTAGAGTTCTATTAGGATTTTGTTGTACTATAATTTCTCCCTTTTTGTTCTTGATATCTATGAGTTCTTAGCATATATGTGACCTTACTTAGCACAGTTTAATATCTTTTCATTATATACTGAAGTCAAAAGGTGAGCAAAAACCTGAATATGCTTGCTTGTTACAAGTAGATATCCATGTCCCTTATTTTGCCACGCTAATGATTTTTCTCATGGTTAGCAACCATAAGCCAGAAACTAAAGGATATAGCTTCTCATTGAAGCTGGTTGCAGGCTAATGATAGTATTAACTACTTGTTTCTGTGTTTGTCGTTGTAACTTACCTTCAATTGATATGTTACAATGCTGTCCGAATAAGTCGTGTTAACTGGAAAATAGTAAGGGCTTTCAATTGCGAAACCTTTTCTGATATAATGTTGACTTGGAATTTGCTAAGGAGCAGATATATGCTGCTGCAACTTTCTTTTCTTTCAGAACACTCTGAACGCATAGCTGATATGATTTCTTATTGTCGAAGTCACCATTAAAATTGTATACACAAAGTGATACATATCTCTATGTAGGCTAAACTGATCATATGTTTTCTTCTCAATGTGGCAAGTGCTAACACTAATTAGAAATCATGAGCTTCTTGATCAGTTTTAGATTCCATCCAGAGCTATTTTTGGGCTAAATTTTGTAGGCGAATTGTGGTTATTTATATTACATGAACTCAGTTATAGGTGAATATCTGATATAAGCACATCTAATTGCTATCTAGTACATCAAAGTAAATAAAGAGTCCATGTAATCAGGTGGCTATTTAGGTTTTTGCATTATACTTAATTTGAGCGTAATTTACTTCAAGACATAAGACTAGCCATCTTTCATCTGTCTGCAATTCGACGAATAACAGGATCTTTGTGAAATTGGTGAGAAGGGCAATGCATCTTTGGCACCTAATGACCAGTAGGATACTCCTCCCTCTGGCACCTAATATTAGCTTGTGCTATATAATCAAGGTCAGTACGTACCAAATGTTATACATCTTCTTCTTCTCCTTCCTTGTGCTGCTTCTTCTACTACTTCTCTCTTTCTCTCTCTCGCAAAGTCTGAATAGTCTAGTAATTTTTTTACTTTGCCTATGGCACTTAGTCGCTGCGTAATTCTGTGGTTGCCTAGCTAGTGTCATTACTATGATGCATATTCTGTGAGAACTTGAAGGTTTAGTGGGTGAATCATTCTGACACTGAAAGTTGATCTTTCGACTGAAATAGTTTGTTTTGAATGTTGGTTAAGTTGGATAGTTTTATTGATACAAAAAATTCAAAAATAATTTTACTACTACGTTATTTTCATAAGTACTTGGATAACTATTTAAGTAATTAACTCATTTTATTGCATGACAAAGAATAAAAATCTGAAACAAAAATCAATATTGAGTATACCAAAGTACTAATGCTCTTTCACTGAGAATAATCTCATCTCAAACGTGGATAGTATTTATGCTTTATTTTTTACGGATTTAACTTATATAACTGATAAAATAAAAATAATATACACATTATGCTTGTATACTATTCCTTCCGAAGAACAAAAAAAAAGGTTCAGTGTTTTACACCTGAATCAGTGATTTAGCAACAGAGCTGCCAAGAATCTCCTCTGTTGGAAAAAATATATTGGATTCAAAGTTCTGCCCGCATGATTACATCATTTTGCTTAGGAAATCAAATAAACTGTCGTATGCCTAAGTTTATTTTCTCTTTACCAATTTCTGTAGCTAGTTATTTACTTCTTCTTTTTTCTATATAGCTTCTTTTGTTGTGCCACAAAATGTTTTCAGGAAGCCAACAAGTGAAATGAATGGTTGTAAAACAAAATAGATAGCGAGATTCAGAGGTGAATACTTGAAAATCTAATTAAAAAGTGACAGGAAGATAGTTTAACTAATTCATTATGCTAATATTCTATTTCTCTTTTAAATTCTTTCTGGAGGTGGATTAGTAAATTTTGCTAGTTCCAAAGTCATACAAGAAAACAAGTTTAAAGCAAAGTAAATAATGGAGGAAAGAAATGCATGTTACCTAAGTTATTGTATGTAAGATATTAGCTAGAGATCTGGGATTTACTTGAAAACAGGTTGCTTGGTAGTTCTGGGATTTACTTGAAAACAGGCCACTTTAGTTATAATAGGTTGCAACCTGTGCAAGGTTTCAAATATTAGCAAGGAGCACTACTTTATTTTGGTCTTTTATTAGCTGATTCTCTTGAAGGGTAATGACTTTATTTATCCTCTTTTGTAGGTGGAGAAGATCAAGAAATGGATGATGAAGGTAATGAAGAACTAGACCTTACTTGAGATGAATTTTGAATTGCTATAGATGAATGTTCTAGGAATCTTTTGTTATCAATATTTTTTAAACTTACTCTTTTGAAATGTACTAAACTTATGCACTTGGGGTAGAACATTTGCTTTATGGATATTATTTGCTTGATGGATAATTTATATTATTAATAGTTTCATTTTATGATTTATTTAAATTTTAGTGCTATTATAATATATATATATAACAGGTGCTATATTTTAGTTTTAACTGAACTGATACAATAGCCTACCAAAACCGTTGCAATAGGACACAAATGACGTTCCGTTAGACAATGTAAACCGTTGCAATAGGTCTTATAAACTATTCCAAAATGATCTATAAACCGTTCCAATACAAATATAACTGTTACTATAGATTAAACAAACTGTTGTTATATCCATATATAACCGTAACAATAGCTTACGTAAGTGTTGCATTAAATAGTACGGTAACGATTAAGAACCGTTGTATAAACAATATAGTAATGGTTTTAAACCGTTCCAATTGAAAAAAATAATTGTTCCAACAGAGAAATGGAAAATCGTTGCGATAGAAGTATCTATAGTCACGGCAACGCAAAACCGTTGCAAGAACCGTTCCTATAGACCGATGGGCACGCGGGCTGATGGAACGGGCCGTAAACTATTCCAATATCTCTATGGTAATGGTTTAACAGTCTGTGGGAACGGTTTTCCAAGCGTTATCGTAGACCAATTTTTCAATAGTGTGTATTGTGGTTATGTGACTTGACGGGGTGGTTGGTTTTAGTTTCGGGTGAGTTTCAGAGTGAAATAGGACACTTAGTCCCTAAGTTGAGGCTTAAGTTGAAAGAGTTGACCGGAGTTTAACTTTCATGTAGACGACTCCAGAATGGAGTTCTGACGGTTTCGATAGCTCCGTATGGTGATTTTGGACTTAGGAGCGTGTCCGAATATTAATTTGGAGGTCCGTAGGTCATTTCGGCTTGAATCGGCGAAAATTAGAAAGTTGAAGATTTGGAAGGTTGAGATGTTTGACCGAGAGTTGACTTTATTGATATCGGGGTCGCATTCCGATTCTAGAAGTTAGAATAGGTCCGCTGTTCATAGTTTCAATAGGTTTGAATTGGGTTGTGATTAGTAGAATCGATGTTGTTTGATGTGATTTTAGGTCTTGAGTAGGTCCGTTAGGTTTTTTGAAACTTGTTGGTATATTCAGACAGGGTCCTGGGGGCCCCCGGTGTGAAACAGATTGAAATCGGGATCAAATTTGGACTTAGAGGGCTGTTGTAGGTGCTGAAGTTCTGGTGTCATCGCACATACAGAGGGTTTGGCCGCAGGTACGGACATGCAGGTGCGAGAGAGGCCATCACAGAAGCGGCCTTGAGTGGGCCTGGCTGTGACCGCAGATGCGAGGAGATTTTCACATCTACGAGTCCGCAAGTGCGGAGGAGCTGGTCGCAGATTCGGACTGGGCCAGTTTGGTTTGTGGTCGCAGGAGCAGACATTGTCCGCAGAAGCGGGTGCGCAGAAGCAATCCTTTCTTGCAGGAGCGGAAGCGCAGATGCGCGTTGTATCCGCAGAAGCGGAGGGTGCTGGACCTAAGTGAGGACTTCACATGCGATGAAAATTCCGCAGGTGCGGCTGAGGGCTCACAGATGCGAGATCGCTGGGCAGAAAAGGATGAGTTCGAGGGTTTAATTTCATTATTCATCTTTTGACCTAGAGAGCTCGTTTTGTGGCGATTTTGAGAGGGATTTTTTAAGAAATTTACCGGGGCAAGTGATTCTAACCCAGATTTGGCTATTATACATGAATACATCGTTGTTTTTGTCATTTAATTAGTGTTTTGAGTTGGAAAATTTGGGAAAAATTTGTGAAACTTCATAGACTATATTTTGAGGATTTGAAGGTCGATTTGAGATCGGAATTGAGTAATTTTAGTATGGTTGGACTCGTTATCGAATGAGTGTTCGAATTTTGTAAGGTTGGTCAGGTTCTAAGACGTGGGCCCAGGGTTGACTTTCTAAGTTGGCGTTTTGATTTTCTTTAAAGATTGCATCTTCATTATTCGGAATAGTTTCCTATGGTTTGTATTTATGGTATAAAGTTAATTTGGCTAGATTCGAGCCGTTCGGAGTTGGATAATAACGTAAAAGGCTTATTAGTGGATTGAGTAAGCGTGTTTTGAGGTAAGTGTCTTGCCTAACTTTGTTGG